GCTGCTGCTGCTGCTGCTGCTGCTGCGGGTCTCAGGGCTCCTGAGCTTTTCTGCGAAAGCTCCACGGGTTTCGAAAGTGACATTTGGTCTGCTGGAATTGTTCTTTGTTTGCTGCTGTCGGGATCTTCTCCCTTTGAAGGCAGCAGCATTTTGAGCACCCTGAGCCCCCGCCGCCCCGCTGCGCGCAGCAGCAGCAGCAGCAGCAGCAGCGAGGGCCTCCGCAGAAGCCCCAGCGGGGGGGCCCCCTTCGGGGGCCCCCAGCAGCAAAGCGAGCCCCAGGGGCAGCAAGCCGACTCCGTCAACCGCAAGCGGAGGCCCCCCCAGTTTCAGGAGGCGAGCAGCAGCAGCGTGCCCCCTGCCGCTGCTGCTGCTGCTGCTGCTGCTGCTGCTGGGGGGGACGGGGAGGCCGCGGGGGGGCCCCCGGGGGGGCCCCCCGGGGCCGAGGCGGTGCGGGCGAGGCTGCAGGAGGCCCTGGGGGGCCCCCAGTGGGCCTCCGTTGCTGCAGCAGCAAAAGATCTCATTCAAGAAATGCTGAATGTTGACGCGCGGCTGCGCCCCTCAGCAGCAAAGATCTTGCAGAGTGCGTGGCTGCAGTCCGACTGACGCCCGCATCAGCCCCGCCCGGTGTACGTACACCCCAGACGCTAGAGCAGCAACGCCCGTGGACGTGCTGCAGCAGCAACGCTCGTGGACGTGCTGCAGCAGCAACTCCCGTGGACGTGCTGCAGCAGCAACTCAGGTGGACGGACACCCTAGTCGCTGCAGCAGCAACTCGGGTGTACTTACACCCCAGACGCTACAGCAGCAACTCGGGTGTACGGACACCCCAGACGCTGCAGCAGCAACTCGGGTGTACGGACACCTCAAGAGCAGCAGCGGGAATTGGGGTGTATGTACACTTCACGCGCTGCAGCAGCAACTCGAGTGTACAGACAGCTGAGCCGCAGCAGCGGGAGCTGAGGTGTACGTACAGTGGGTGTGCGGGTTTGGGAGAGGGCGGAGTTGGGAAGGAAAGAATTTGCATATTTATGAACATAAATATATATTTATAAATATATATTTATATATTTATAAATTATAGATGTATAAATATATATATAAATGTATATATAAATGCATATCTCGAAACGCCCCAGCAAGACCCCCGCAGAGAGGCGGCCGCGGGCGTTTCTGTGTTGTGTTTGCGGAGAACAAAGTTGGAGTTTGAACACAGCCGTTTGGCCAACACGAACTGTGCGTGCTGCAGCAGCAGCAGCAGCAGCAGCAGCGGCAGCAGCAGCAGCAGCAGCAGCGAGAACGCCGGCGACTGCTGCTCTGTCGGGGCGCGCAGCTCCGCAAGCCGCGCCGCAGAGGGGCCGCAGCAGCACGCAGCCCCGCTGCTGCTGCAGCAGCTGCTGCTGCTGCAGCAGCTGCGGCTGCTGCTGCAGCTGCTGCTCCTCCTGTGCAGCGCTTCAGCAGAAGAGAGGCCGCTGCCGCCCCTCCAAACAACAACTCCACCAGTCGCGAGGTTTGCTGCTCCTGGCCAGCTGCAGCAGCGGGAGGCTGCAGCAACAAGCTGCAGCAGCAGGCTGCAGCAGCAGGAGCTGCTGCGGGTTTGCTGCTGCTTGAGGATTTTGCTGGTGGTGTCTGTCGTGTCTGCGGCTTTTGCTGCTGGTTCTTTCTGCTTCTGTTTCCTTCCTTTTGCTGCCTCCCCACAGAAATGTAGTGCGCAGCAAGACCTGCGGGCTGCAGCAGCAGCTGCTGCTGCAGCTGCTGCTGCAGCTGCCGGCTTGCGGCCCTTGAGCCTGAAGCTGCTGCTGCGGCGCCCCAGGCCCTCCCTCCCGAGGCTGCTGGTGCTGCAGCCTAGGCGCAAGCTGCTGCTGCTGCTGCTGCTGCGGCACCCGGCGCTTGCGCGGTCAGTGGGGCGCGGCGCGAGGTGTCTGTACACCTGAAAAGAAACACTCTTTCAGAGTCCTCGCCCCTCCACTTCGTTTTCATTTTATGTAAAAGACACTTCTTGCTGCAGCCAACTAAGACTGCTGCTTCCTTTCCAATCATAATCTCCTGTTCTCCTCAGCTCCCCTGCTGCTTTGCTGCTGCTTTGCTGCTGCTGTGCTGCTGCATTACTCTGCTGCTGTGTTGCTGTGCTGCTGCGCTGCTCTGCTGCTGTTCTGCTCTGCTGCTGCGCTGCTCTGCTGCTGCGCTGCTCCGCTGCTGTGCAGCTCTGCTGCCCTGCTGTTGTGCTGTTGCTGCGCTGCTTGTCCCTCCGGCTGCAGCCCTGCTGCTGCAGCATACAGTTTCTTTGAGGCCCAGTCAAGGGCTTTTTTCTGCTGCAGCAGCAGCAGCAGCACTTCGCCTTTTGTCCCCTGATAAGCAGCAAAGTGCAGAAGGGCTTGGAGCCTTTATTCTATACTTAGGGGCTGGGTAATGAGCAGCAGCAGCAGCAGCTAAATGCTGCTGCTAGGCCACGCTAGGCACTTAACTATGGCAACACTCTGAAGCAGCTTTATTTAGCTGCTGCGCCTATGTCTTCCGCTGAAAGCAGAATTAGCAGCAGCAGGAAACCAGCAAGCGCAGCTGGCTCGCTGCTGCTGCTGCTGCTGCTGCTGCTGCTGCCAGCAGCAAAGGCATCAAACTAAATATATTTTTTAAAGCTCTTTTAATTCATCTAAAATTGAGGCAAAATTAAACGGGACTAGCGGGGAGCCGAGGCTCGACTTCGCCGCGCGTGGTCAGCCTGCTTTCTGTTTGTATTCAAGTTGGCGCTGCGCCTGCTGCTGGTGCCTCGTTAAAATTCGCGGAAAGAGGCTCTAAATGCATATTAATTACGTTTAAATTCATAAATTGCAAATTAAAGAAAATGAACAGTTAAAATAGGGGTTCAAGCGGCACTGCCACGGCCTCTGGAGGCCCCCGTTCTGCGTGGCTGATTGTCGGCCGCGGCGGTGAGCGCGGACGATCGCCCGGCTCAGAAAGCTTGAAAACTGCAACAAATGTATTTCTTCGTTTAATTTTTGCATTTGAATTCTCAATTGCAATTCAATAAGTCTATTAATCTTGTCGAAGAAGCCAGATCGCCCGCGCCACGCCCGCGTCCACCTGCGTATCGATGCCGCCTGCAGCTGCAGCGACTTCTCCTGCTCCTCGCAACTGCCACAGCCGAAATTCAATTTCCTTTTTCTTTTCTATTTAACAAAATAAAATCGAAGTCCCATTTGATCCGTTTTTCACTTTCCCGAGTCGGCCGCGGCGGCCACAGAACGGTCACTGCCGCCTGCGCTGCAGCACTCGAGTGGGATCCCGCGATTCACCATGTATTTCTCCATTTTTCCGTTTTTTATTGGCCTTTTTGAGTTTATTCTTCGCTCTATTTCTCCTTTTAAGTCAAGGCAAACTCCCGGGTCCCAAGGAATACTGGAAATTCCCATTACTGCATCGGTGAAGACTCAGTTCAAGTACAAAAGCAAGTTCCGGTGCCTTATGCCTACACAGGTGCGGCCGCCGCCAGTTTTTTGCTCATTTAAACGATAAAATACTTTTATAATTTATTTAAAATAGTATTATCTTCTTCGCTGCAGTTCGGCGGTCAAAAAAACCCTTTTCTCGCAGCGGTTGCTCCTGAATCGGCCCGCCGACGCTGTCACGCTGCTGCTGCTGCTGCTGCTGCTGCTGTGCTGCTTCTGCATACAGGCTATATCACTGGCCGGGGGCCTTTTGCTGCTAATTTATCTCGTGACTCATCTCATCCGGAAGGTTTCCTTCGAGATGTACTTCAGAACCTTCTTCAGAGAAGTCGCTTCTATGATGCAGGTAACAAGCAGCTCAGCTGCAGCAGCAGCAGCAGCAGCAGCAGCAGCAGCTACTGCTGCTGCTGCCTCCACCCTTAGCCACCTTTTAAAGATGCGTTTCAGCTCAGGCCCTCTGCTGCTGCTGCCGCTGCCGCTTCCTCGCTGCCGCCTCCGCGCTGCTGCTGCTGCTGTTGCTGCTGCTGCTGCTGCTGTTGCTGCTGCTGCGGGCACTGAGCCGCAGCAGCTGCAGCGTGTGTGTGGGGCCGCAGCATCCCGGGGGAGTGCAGCAGCTGCGCTGGAGGGCCCTGGCCTTCTTCGGAAGCTGGAGAGACTTTGCTGCTCCGCGGCACACAGCCCAAGTTCTGGGGCTCATTTTGGCTGCTGGGGGCCCCGACGCGAAACATGTGAGCAGCAGCAGCAGCAGCAACAGCAGCAGCAGCAACAGCAGCAGCAACAGCAGAAGCAGCTGCTGCTGCTGCTGCTGCAGGGTTGTTCTAGAATTGCTGCTTAGTTGCTTCCTCTTCTTGGCTTCTTTGGTGATGGGCTATTTATTATTTATTTATTATTTATTACTTATTATAATTGATTTATTATTTTTTAATTGTTTTTTTATTATTTTGTTTTGTTAATTTCTTTCGTTGAATTTACTTTTGTTTTCCGATTTATCAACTGTGTTTTTTCGCTTTTTTTTCGCACTCTTCCTCTTTTGCCAATTTTTATTTTTTGATTTATTTCTTCTTTCATTTTATTTTAATTTATTTATTTCAATTATTTTTATTTAATTCATTTTAATTAATTTAATTTAATTTATTTTATTTATTTATTTTATTTAATTATTTTATTTGCTGCTGTCCAGGAGGCTTCCCGAATTGCGTCTGAGTTGGCGGCCGTTGAGGCTCCTTTAGATGCACATTTTGTGAAGCAGATCCACGGCAGGTAAATTCAAATTGCTGCTGCTGCTGTTGCTGCTGTTGCTGCTGCTGCTGCCGTTGCGGTTGCTGCTGCTGTTGCAGCAGACGGTCACAGAGCAGCAGCACTAGTGCAGATAAGAGCAGCTGTAGCGGCTTCCGCAGAGGAGCTTCTGCTGCGAACAGCAGCAGTAGGGGCAGCAGCAGTAGGACCTGCAGCAGCAGCAGTAGGAGCAGCAGCAGCAGCACTAGCAGCAGCAGCAGCACTAGGAGCAGCAGCAGCAGCACTGGCAGCAGCAGCAGCACTAGGAGCAGCAGCAAGAATGCTGCGAGTTGCTGCGCGTGCGGTTTGCAGGCGGAACGGGCGAGCGCCGCCGCTCCAGAACAAGTGGACTGCTGCGGGTGCTGCTGCTGCTGCTGCTGCTGCTGCTGGGCTGGCGGAGGAAAACAGCCTCAAGTCCCGCGTTTTGCTCGTCCTTGCTGTGGCTTACTGGGAAGCAGAAAGTTTCTGTCGAATTGTTTTAAATGATCCTGCAAGTTGCTTGCTGGTGCTCGCAATATAGCAGCAGGGAGCAGCAGGAAAGCAAAGTTGAACTGGGCGCTTTCGCCGCCGCCAGACGGCCCCGAGCTCCACTTTTCGGAAGCTTCTTCGCAAAACGAACCATTTTTAAGTCTATTTAATTAATCTGCAGATTTGTTTGTTCAAATGAAACCAAAGGGGCGGAAACCGCGTTCAGAAAATCCAGGCGGCAACGCCGAACTGTACAGACACCTGAAACGCAATTCAGAAACCCAAACGCGCAGTGCCGCCCCAGCCACTTTTCTGCGTCAAAAGTTGGAAACGTTTCGCGAAATCAACACATATTATTCTTGAAAGTTGTATTTAATCAATTACTTCTTCAGTTTTGCTCCAAATGACTATTTCGTACCGCTTTCCGCCGCTGCTGGGCTGCAGCCGCAAGCGCGCAGTGAGCGCCGCAGCAGCAGCAGATTTCAAACCCTGCAGACTTTCTGAACACGCAATTGGCTTTTCTCGTTTTCGTTTTGCTTCCAAACATGCAAAAAGACAAAAAGACTTTTTGCTGCTGCACTGGACTCTCAAGAGATTAGCAGCAGAGTTCCTCTTGGAGCAAATTCAGTTTCGCCGCGCCGCCGTTCTGCAGCTGTCTGCGCTCTGCGCAGAAGTCGCAGCAGCAGTGGGGGCCCCCAGCATGCAGCAGCAGCAGCAGCAGCAGCAGCAGCAGCAGCAGTTGCTGCTGCTGCCTCCGAAAACCTTCTCCAAGTTTCCCATTGGGCGATTACTCGAAAGCCGCTTTCCTTCAGTCGTTTATAAACCCTCGGAAAACGTCAAGGACGTTCTCGTCTACCTCAAATGCAGGTCTGCTAAACCCTAAACCCTAAACCCTAAACCCTAGGGCTTCAATGCAAATACATTCAACATCCCAAGCATTAAACCCTGAATTGTGCTTCCCACCCCCGAAACCCTAATCCATACATCCAATGCCCTAAGCCCCAAACCCTAAACCCTAAACCCTAAACCCTAAACCCTAAGCCGAAAAAACCCTAAACCCAACACCCCAAACCGCACATCCAACCCCTAAACCCTAAACCCTAAACCCCAAACCCTAAACCCTAAACCCTGGAGTTGGGGGAATTGAATCTTTTGTTTGTTTTGCTGCCGCAGGGGCTCCGTGGACGCAATTCGTTTGCTGCTGCGGCAGCAGCAGCTGCCGCACGCGGAAGTGCACGTGGACCGGAGCTTCAGCAGCAAAGAGATCAGCAGCAAGTTTGCTGCTGCTGCACTTCCTGCTGCTCTTCCTTACTACTGCGACGAAAGCTGCCAAATGTCTGGAGCAAAAACAGTTCTGATGTATCTCGCGAGGAAGGGAGGTTTGGCTGTGGGGTCTGGGGTGTACGTACACCTCGAGGCCGTGGTGGACTTCTGCTTTGCTGCGCTGCACACCCTCTGGGCAGCAGACTGCTGCTGCTGCTACCAGCAGCAGCAGCAGCAGCAGCAGCTCCTCAGCAGGGACAGGGCCAGGGCCCACTTCTGCAGAGACAAGCTGCTGCCGCTCCTCCACTCCTTCTGTTCCCTCCTCCCCTCGCAGCTGCAGCAGCAGCAGCAGCAGCAGCAGCGGCAGCACGAGGCCTGCAGGGACGCCTGGGAACTCCGTGAGCCCGGGACCCCGCACAGCAGCAGCAGCACCAGCAGCAGCAGCGGTGGAGGCAGCAGCAGCGGCAGCGGCAGCAGCAGCAGCGGAGGATGCAGCAGCGAGCAGCTGCTGCGGCTGCAGAGCGCTCTGCTGCAGTGCGTTCCAGCAGGAGGCTGTGCGTCTCCGCTGGTGCTGCATCAGTGTGCTGCTGCTGCTGCTGCCGCAGATAGAGGGAGTATCTGCTACACGTACAGCTAAAAAAGGAGAGC